CGTGGTTTTCTAGGCAGGAGGCTGCAGCAGGGCCGCGGGGCTCTCCCTACCTCTCCTGCGCCGCCTCCGCTCCGTCATGGGCCCCCAGAGCACGTCACTCCCGGCGGCGGCGGCCGCGGCGCCTCCCGCTGCCCGCGCCCTTCCCGCCCGTCCCGAAAGTTTCCCTGGCGCCCGGCAGGGGGCCGGGCACAGGTAAGGGGCGCGCGCGGGCGCGGGCTGAGCGCGGCCGCCCCCACGGGGCTCCCGGCGGGAGGGAAGAGCGGCGCCGGGGGTCGGGAGGCCGGGGGCTCCGCGCCGCCCCCCGGCCCTGCGCCCTGTGGGGCAGCGGCGCTTCCCCAAGCCAGCCCGGGACCTGACTTCCCTCCCACTCGCTCGGGTTCGCTTCCTTCCCTGCAGTTATCGGGTAACCCTCCCGCCCTCAACAAGTTACGGGAGAAGATGAGCTTTGAAATTTCCATTTGCTTTTGTACTTGGAGTTGTTTCTTAGCAAAGAAGCAGCTACAAGCAACGAAAACCCCTGTTTTTCCGACTGTAATACCCTGCCACGTTTCCTTCAGCTGTCCTGGGAAGCTTCGGGTTGCATGCAAGCTGTCAGTCACTTTATGGGCAAACATTTTACTGCGTTGATCTCTTGTAATATTGAATCATAGAGCCACCTGGTCGCGTTATAAAGATGTCATTGATGGAATCTGGCATCCCGAATTTGGGCTTTTTGCCATTCCCATGATTAATGGGAATATGACTGTATACCTGCAAGGAGAAATGTCTTCCCTGACCGCGGTGGATCGAGGCAGGGCTTCCCCGTCGGCACAACCGTTGCCGCTCCAGCTCTCCACAAAGTTCTGTCTGGTGCCAAATAACAAAGTAGAGTAAAATTTCAAGTGGGTGTTTTTAGGGCAGTGTCTTGCCTGCAAAGCAGCAAGTGCGCTGAAAATGCCTGGGAGGAAAATAGGTATGAAAACAGAAGGAAACATGATACTGTTAATTGTGAAGGCAAATTTTGTTGCTGAAGGAAAACCTTTTATGAAAGTTGAGAACACCAAGTTTATTAAGGATCCAGGAAAAGGGTTGCTAAATGAAACTACATTTAATCACTTTATTAAGTTTGCAGGCTCTTGAGAGATGAAGTTGTATTTTATCTTTTTTAAAAGTGTGTACATTGCTTTACATAAATGATTCCTGCTGCGTGTCTGCAGCTGGTGGTTCCGTGCATGTAGTTGGCCATGGCCAGGGCCACAGATAAGGAATCTACCTGTAGCCCTCATTGCACGGGGCACACAGCCCCAGTTTGAGAGTTTTGTTATGATAAGAAACTAAGAGTATTTTGACTCTTGCAGATAGCAGACTAATGGGAGTGATGCCCAGCCAGCGCTCTGTGTGTTTTGTGCTTGTTCCTTATTCCACCACAGCACAAGCTAGACCAGTAACTCCAACCCCAACCCCTCCAGCCAAGGTAGGCTGTTTCGGTAACCACGTTAGGACATCCTTGCTCCCTTTCACTGCGTTTGGAGCTCCTGGGGATGCAGTGTCTCCTGGCTGTGCTTGTCTTCGTGTGTTTGAGCAGCTAAAGGTACTTGTGTAACGGGGTAATCCTGGGTTGTAGCCAGCCAGGTGCACTGTGACAGCCCAAGCTCTGTGCTCATTTCTGTGCTGGGAAGTGAAGTCTGTGTCACATGCTTGGTTACATGGGAATGCATTTCCTTCCAGGGGCTCTCTGGCATCAAACAGGCTCATTCAGACTGGATTCTGCAGGGTTCAACTGCAGTTCATTAACACAGTTTTCAAACACTCGTGAAATAGCCACTGTAGCTGCTTTCTCTTTTAACCATTTAGAAGCTGAGCTGTAAAAAGAACTGAGCTTCTGTTTCACCTCATCTTTTTTATTATATAACACAATACGCAAAAGAGAAGCACTGAGTTTGGCCAGTCTATCAAAATTAAAAAGAAAAATCTGACAGCCTTTTTATGTTCTTGTCTCCTAGGCAGGTCTAAAAGGACTTTAAAAAAAGATGTTATTAGCTTGGTATGAATACCCTATATTTTTATAGTTTATCATTTTTGATTCAAATTGGAAGAAAAACTGTAATGTTTTTTCTGACTAGATACTGTCTAGAGGAAAAAAATAGATACCATCTTCAATATTGGTTTTGGAACAACAGAGGATTACATTGTATAGTTTACAGTGATAAATGAGCAATCGTTCAAGTACTGTAATCTGTGTATACTTAGCTGGTCTCTAAATATTTAAAGACTAAATAATAGCAGCTTCCCTGTATGCAGTGCTTCTAATGAACCTTAAGCTATTATGTGTTACTGTGTGTGTGTTTTTCTCTCCCACTGCTACTTTTTTTTCCCCACTTATTAAAAAGATTATTAGGGATTTAAGCAAATTATGAGTGGACTCATTTCATCCTAGCTGCATCCAAGCAAGCTCAGTGAACTGAAAGTTCTGGTGAAAGCCTCCTGCACAAGCCTCTCCACTAAAACCTTTCTGCCTACTTCATGGCAAATCATCTCTTGGTAAATGTCCTGCTTCGTGCTTTGAAGAAAAAAAAGACATTGCTGGCATCTCAGGCAGGGATTCTGGCTCCATGTGGTTGTATGTTCCTGCTGGGAGATCTGTGTGTGAGCAATAAATTCAGAGACACATCTGTCTTCAGTGTTGTGTATTACCTGAAATATCTTCTTAGCTGTTATCCAAGCTGGACTTCTAGATTTCATCGGGCAGAATAGCTGCTTAGCTTTCTAGGTATATAAATCTTGTTTATATTAAGTAGCTTAGAACAGAAGTCCAGCAGACATCATCATCATCATCGTCCAGTCTGACTTCCTGTAGAGTAAAAAGTAGGTCTGTAGTAAATCAATTCCTTTTTGAGTGATACCATGTTTAGAGTTGTATTAGATGTTAGACAGCATCCTGGCTTCTTAAATTCCTAGTAAAGGAAAATTTTAAAGCCATTCCATTAATTAATAACCTCTGTGGTGCATGCCTGCATACCTTTATCATCTGAATATGTCTAGTCTAATAATGACTGATTATCTTTGCATTTTTATTTGCTGGATTGAGTTGTCCTTCCTCCCCGATTATTGTTCCTTGTAAATAGGTATAATGGTTTGTGGTGAAGTTATTCTCTACACTGAACAGTCCTGCATTTCATTAGGAAAATCCTGATTTCCAATTCTGTAACTGTTGTTTTCCCTAGAATATATGAAGTATATGGATAATATATGTAGGACATTGTTCTCCCTAGAATATATGTAGTATATGAATAATATATGTAGGATATAAGAAGCCATATGAAGAAAGGTAAGATATGAGCTTATGTTGTTAGTTACTGTCCAGCCATATTGTTATGGTAAGTTAAGGGGACATATTTGCTAAATTTAATGAGCAGTTTATATTTGAACCTCTAACATGGCTAGGCTTGGTCATTGTCACGAGATTTAACTTGCCCATTGCCTAGATGGATGGGACCTCAGACACAGTTGCTTCTGCAGCCTTGGATGTCCAGGCTGCCCTCCTTGCCTGGATATTTGCATCTGACCACTGGGTTCCCCTCTCTTAGTTCCTGGAGCAACGTTATTGACCGCCAAGCCAGTTAATGTCTACTAGCTTTTAAAAGCATGTAATATTGTAGATGTTTGAAATTAGTGAGGCAAATCCTGCTAAATGCATCATCATCTTGTTTTGTGCATATTCTGTAAAGGAAAATCTTCCTTTGTGGTTGAAAATACATAGCAAACAATGTAGTTCATCTAAGCTGGCTCCGTGATCAGTTTGTGCGGCTCCAAGTCTTGTCAAAATGTGCACTGTAAAAGTCTGGAGGGATTTCTGGCTGAATACACAGTCTAAGATAACTAAAGGACAGTGTGTTGGAGGTCTGAAGAGCTTTGCTTTTTGACTCCAATGAAAAGCCTGAAGGGAAAGCTGCTCCTGGCCTTGGGATTTTTAAAGTGTTTTGCAGAAATTATTCTTCTGATTTAAACTCAGAGAGTAACCAACACTCCGAGCTTTTCAAAGATAGGATAGAGTTGTCAATGGGCAAGTAGGGTGAAATACAAATTTATTTAAGCAAATTATAATTTAAATAATTTATAATTCTTTGTGGATATGCTTCAGTGAATAGAAAAAAGTCAGGGGCAGGAGTTTTGCATTTAAATTACAATTCTATTGCTATTGACTATTTTAATATACTTCTTATATGAAGTTATAGATTGATGGCTGCTATTTATTTTGGAGAGTGTCTGTGAAATATTCCATTTACTTCTTTGAAACTCCAGAAAGCTTGTTAAATTCATCACTGTCTGGTGACAGCTCAGTTCTTCCAGAAATGCTGTTGTTTGTCTCAATTAATTCCGTGCAACTGTACATTGCCTCTCTAGTGGTGTGTGTCGAACTGGAGACAGTGGGGTGCGTGGCAGGATAAAATATTCAGAAATGTTTCAGCAATTCAGCCCGTATCAGCAAGGTAAGTCTTCTGCCTGAGTGGGGAGGACGTGTTTTCCGTGCATGTCTGGGTCCAGCAGCTGCAGTTGTTAATTTTGTTTCGTGTTAGTGGGAGTGTGGTAGCCAAATAGCAGGGGCTGTGCTCCGCAGCCAGGGCCTGAGACGGGCCTGTGTGAGACCTGCTTTCCTTGCCTCGAGCAGCTGACAAAATGCAAAGCCTCTGACATTTACACGGAGAAAACACAGTTTTCTGCAAGTTTATAATCAAAGATACCTTCTTTGAATGCAGTCTTCTGTCGAAGCTTGCCTGATCAGCACCCTCAAACTGAACTAGGGGTAGCTGTTCATCACCAGAAATTGGTGTGCCAAACGAGGCCAGAATCACGTTGCGTGCTCACTTTGCTGGTGTGTTTTTCTGACTGAGAAGCTTCTCAGTGCAGTGACGGTGTCTGTCCCAGCCGTGTACTTAGAAGCTCGGAACTGCAGTGTTGTTGTAGGCACTCTGTAGATGGCCCTCAGTGGAGGATGACTCACGTTTAGTACCACAGCTGGCCCCTTTTGCTTGTTTTCTTTCTTCCCCCTGCCTGCAGTATGTGAATGGCATAATTACAGTGACTGCTTGGAAGCCCTTGAGAGTCTCAAATGTGAAAGATGTAAAAGGCCTTGTGTAGCACTGTATACCTATCACAATAATATTTTTACAGCCCTCAAGTCCATACATATTCCCTGCTCTGTTTAGTACTTCATAACAACAACAAAAATGCTAACAGTTTTGGGGCTCCAACGGAGAGAATACTTCTATGATAAAAATAGGTGACCCGTCTCTTGCCTGTAGTTCACTGGCAGTGAGCAGGCCTGCTCCCTACCACAGCCCACAGAAGCCATTTCCCTTTAGCAGCAGTCTTCAGTGTTGCCACCGAGTTTGTTTCTGCCCGAATCAGCCTCTTAAATGCACTTCTCCCATTCACAGTCCGTCAAGCAGCTCAGAAGATTGTCATGTTGATGGCATTATATTCCGTGCCTCTCCTATTGCCCTTCTTCTTGTCCTGATGGACAGATGTCCTCCATGGCCTGGGTGACACTGCAGTACAGTATTTTTATTGGAAAAGTCTCGTTGTGCAAAATTACAGAAGTAAATGGGAATTTTCCATATAATGCTTTTTGTTTTGTTTTTTTTTTTCCCCTGATATATTCCAAGTACAAGCAGTTAGAAATATAGGATAAATTTTCTATGGCTTTTATTTTGTATATTATGACTGCATCTGTGTCATAAAATGGTATTTTGCTCCTTTGAAATTATTTAGACCTATAGTGTCACAAGCAGAGACTTTACAGCAATTCTATGAGCTAAAATACAGGCTGACTACACATGCTATCACGGTTCTGTTGGCAGAGAATCTTGTTTGGGTCAAGGGACAAATTCATAGCTATAAAGCACCCCATTCTCGTAATGCTGGTTCTTCCACTAAAGATGGATATTGAGCACGTTTGTTTCGGAAAGCTGCCCTGATCTTCAGCAGAGATGGCCAAGGCCATTCCCATCCCCATTCTCACAGAGGGAGAGGTTTCCTCCTAACCTTTTGCTTCTGAACTGTGTCACTCGATTCTATTGGATTGTATGGCTTTATTTGGCATTAGTAGTTTTGAATCAAGGAATTGGTGTTGGGTTTGGAATAAACTTAAAGGAATTAAAGCCTGGAAATATGGTATGGCTTTCCTCTAGGAATCGTTTCAGATATGACACTGTAAAAAGAACACACAAAGCCCTGCTGAATGATGCTGGCTGCTCTGGTAGTACTTCTAAGTATTGACTTCTGTGGCTCTTGGAAAAAGGAGCTCCTTTGCATTTTCTACTGCTTCTAATCTCACATTGCAAAGTGTATTGTTACTTGAGAGAGAGATATAGAAAGTTATCTTTTATTTCCTGTATTCTCTTGTTCCCTTGCTTCTCTCTTTCTATGTTCTTAAACACTTAAGAATATCTGGAAATAACAGGAAAAAAATCTTGTTAGACAAGTGTTAAACAACACAGTTATGTGCTCCATAACATGGAATTATAATTCCACATGAGGAGAACTTCTACTGTTTTAAAAGTGATCTGTAAATGCTGTCTGAAAAGTATTTTGCAGGATGACTTATTCCCTTTAAGTTCTAATAACATAATCTGTATAACGCTGCCTTAAAGCTGTGTAGCCTTCCTTGTATCTGGCAGCTTTTTGCCTGCCATTGATGGAGTAGAAAAGAACATCCCTCATAACACTTGGGTTTCCCTTTCTGTGATGCTTGGGGATGTATTTGGTTGTCTTCAGGGAAAATGCAGTTTTGTTGTTTCATTAATGATGACAGAAAGGGAAAGGAGGAAAAAAAGAGGGGAGAGGGATCAACAGAAATCTTGAGTTGAAGTGAGGAAGAAGTGAACAAGGGACAAGTGTTGTTTCTTCTGGTTCAAGAACGAGGTAGGGCTTCAAATCACACTGGCAGGTGGCAGGTTCAAAACCAATGGATGCAACTGCTTTCTCTCCAGTGACTTGCTAGGAATCACTGGATTGAGTTACCTGGGGAGCTGAATGATTGCACTGCAGTCTGTGGCTTTAAACAATACAAGGTTTTCTGGAGTTTAATTGCTGAAAATCATTTTATAAGTAATACCTCTTTTCTTTGCTTCTCTAGATCAGATAAAACTACAGATGGCAGAGCCAAAGCCAAGACAACGTGTGAACTGATGAGAAGTGACTTTGCCTTCTTAGAACATTAATTTCCTAGTGGCCCAAGATCTTACATGCAAGTGCAACATCACTACCAAAAGAGACAGTGACATGTGATCATTGGCCAGAAGTTGCAAGGATGGAAAAGCAAAGGACTTCTCTAGCTGTAATGCATAAATAAAAAATAAAAATAAACATTCAGCTGAATCAAAAAAAAGCCCAGCCATGGGAGAAAATGCAAGCTTTTGGGAAAGCTTGATATATGCACATCCTACCTGCACAACGTGGAAGCAAGAGGCAGAGGGATCTATCTACCATCTGGCCAGCATTTTCTTTGTTGTTGGCTTCATGGGTGGAAGTGGATTCTTTGGGCTACTTTATGTCTTCAGTTTGCTTGGATTGGGCTTTCTCTGCTCCTCTGTTTGGGCTTGGCTGGATGTCTGTGCTGCTGATATATTCTCTTGGAACTTTATACTCTTCGCTATATGCTTCATACAGTTCATTTATGTTACCTACCAAGTTCGGAGTGTGTCCTTTGACAAAGAATTCCAGGAACTCTACAGCGCTCTTTTTCAGCCCCTAGGAATCTCCTTAACTGTCTACAGGAAGATTGTCTTGTGCTGTGATGCAGAGGTGGTTACTCTGGAGAAGGAGCACTGTTATGCTATGCAAGGCAAAACCCCTATCGATAAACTGTCCTTGCTTGTATCAGGCAGGTTGGTATCAGTTTGTTCTGGCTTGCTTACTGTAAATATATTCTTTTTTTTTTCCCCTTCTTGAAAAGGAAAGCAAGAAATGCCTAATTTGTGTATTGTTTGTTCATTTTCCAGTAGAACCGATTAAATATTAATGCATGTAGTATAAATATTAACAGGCTAAATACACTTGTCTAGGGGACGGCACTGACATGTCAACACCATGCACTCAGGCTGTAATAGCTTAAAGAGTAAGGTTTTAAATCATCACTGTCTTTCAAGACATTGTATTATAGCACTTCCAGGTTTCTTAGATAAAGGGAACATAAATATGTCCCTCAGTCTTCACTGCCAGGCTGACTAACACATCTTTGTCATTTTTCCCTGCTAATATTATCTGAAAAAGGTCTAAAATGTAGTTATGAAACTCAATATAGTGAGGTAAACTGTAGAGTATGTTGACTGTAACTGCTTTGTAGGAGATGGAGAGGAGGAATAAGGAAGAAAGAGGAGGCCCAACAACCCCGTGTATTACCAACGGGCACAGTGATGCCCTAGCAGGATGGGCCTGGCCAGAGCTACAGATCGTGTGGCCCTTAGGAAGGCCCTGAGCCAAAGTGACCCCCTGTGTGTGCTCCTGGCTTAGTGGAGGCCCTTCCAGGAGGGGTCCCTGATGGTGCCTTTCTGAGGGGAAGTGCACTTCTGAGGGACCTCATGGTCTCACCCCAAGGAGAGAATGCATAGCCAGAGATAACAAACAGTGTCTGTCTTGGATGGTTTTGATTAGATGCTTCTCAGGTGCATTTTGACAGGTGTGTGGACAGAAGAAACTTCCAGGCAGCTTGAAACTTGGCTGACAGGAATACCTGTAATGAGCAGTAGGGATTTTATGTAGTTAGCCCTGCAGTCATCCTGTCTACTGCATTCGTGGGAGCTCTCCAGAAGGTACCATCTGGCATATGTATGCATATAACATACCTACCAGTTGGCTCTAGATGTACTGAAGGAGGGGTGTCCATCCTTCTTTGTGCACTGCCATGCAGTAGTGGTGCAGGGAGTTCTGTTAAGTTATTTTGTGCACAAGAGGACTGCTACCTGTGCTTTTGCAAGAAGCATAAATCTCAGTCTTGAGCAGATGTGAAAACAGGGCTCCCACAGCTCAGTTATGTCCTTGTAGGTCAGGAGGTTCAAGTTTCCTGCTCATGTCCCTTCTAACTTAAATATGATCAAATGTATGCAGGGAAAAATTCTTGGGCCTTTACAGAAAACTGCAGGGATGCCCTAGGTCCGTGCTAGGATTGGTCTTCCCTGATCCCCCGGCTTCAGACACGGTCCTGTGGCAATGCAACACCTGCTAAACATGGAGAGAGCCCGGTGCATGACGTGACCCATCATCCTGCCTGCCTCAGCGCCTTTGTCCCCTCTAAAATGTGTGTTTGCCAAACCAGGACATGCATGCTCTGGCTTTCCAGCAAAGGCAGCAAACGGGTCTCTGCACATTGCTCTTGCAGCTCTCCCCTTCTTGGCAAAGTTTGCAGGTGGCTGCACAGACCTGCCCCAGGTAGGAGAACATGTCTTGAGGAGACCTGGAAGGGTTTTTGTTCCTGTTGCATGACTGTTTTGGACTGTCACCCAGCCAGACTGATCCAGCTGTGTGCAAAACATTGCATGGTTAGCGTTGGCCAACGTTTACTTTTTGCTATCAAAGCTGTATTTAAACTCCTCACAATATTAGAAATAACACGTTCTTGTTGCAGTCCTTCCCACTGTACACATAGTACTAACAAATTAACACATCTTTTCTTGGTAGGATCAGAGTGACAGTTGATGGAGAGTTTCTGCATTATATTTTTCCTCTTCAATTTCTGGATTCTCCTGAATGGGATTCACTGAGACCTACAGAAGAGGGTATTTTCCAGGTAAAAGTGGAGAGTGTTTTTTTGTTCTTTTGTTTTGTTCTTTTTGTTTTGTACTACAGGAAGCTGATCAAGCGTTAATCTGTGTAGAAATAATTACCCATTTATTTGTGGGTTTTATTTGTAAAATTAAACAAATTTGGCCTTCTAGTATTTGGGGAAGTTCCCATTCTCACTAAATTGCTATGCTGTTTGTGTCTTCCTTGTGCTCGGTTTCTTGTTAGAGCAATCTAGGTTTTTCTCAAAGCTCGTCTCATAGTTAGGTTACGCTTCCCTTTCTCGGGCTGTGCTAAAATCCATACCCAGGAGCGCACCCTGGCAGGAGGTGGGTAGAAGTTTGTGCTGAAGAGGCCTCAGGAGGCAAAGCTGAGCTGGGCAGCCGGGAAGGTTTGTGCCTGGGCTACAAGTGGGCGTAAGGAGGCAGCGTGAAGCGTGGTGGCCGTGTGGGCTGGCACCTACAATCCGTGAGGCCTTGCAGTGGTGTCACTTGACGGAGGGCAGGATGACGAGCTGGCTCCTGCTTGTGACCGATCCCATGGCCCATAGCTCAAGGGGGAGGGACATTTGCAGCTTTCTTGAGATCTGCTTTGCCTGTCCGAGCCGCGCAGAGCAAAGCAGGTGCACAGAGCAGGATGTGGGGTGTGCAAGGAGCCTGTGTCCTGCCTTAGGCTGCTGCTGGCAGCGCCGGCACTCGTGGCTGTCACTGAGACTGACAAGATAGTCATCGGTGGCCATTCCTAGTCTTCTTTTTCACGTGTCTTTTGCATGCAGTACACCTCACAGCGCTCGCTAGCTGGATTAAATGGTTTTAATTGCAGTAGCTGCAAAAGTAGCAGCGTAAGTGACTGATGAGGAAAAGAGAGAAAAGGAGAGAGGTTTTTGAGCAAGGGTGGCAGCAACGGTATCACCGATCATCATCTAGCTCCTTTTAATTTTCTATTCTATAGGTAACGCTTACAGCAGAGACAGATTGTCGATACGTGGCCTGGAGGAGGAAGAAGCTGTACTTGCTCTTTGCTAAGCATCGTTTCATCTCGCGCCTGTTCTCAATACTAATTGGAAGTGACATTGCTGAAAAACTGTATGCCTTGAATGACAGAGTGCAAGTGGGGAAGGGATTTAGATACGACATTCGGCTGCCAAACTTCTACCATGCTTCGCTTCCAGAGACACCTACAGTGAAGTCCTCTCATCACCTCCAGAGAAGTTCTCCGAGGCGGAAGCTGACGGGTGTTGCAAATTGTGACACCTCCAGGAAACAATAGTGAGAAGAAAACTTCTACTGTAGTCATTCCCAGCACTGATGGGGAAATACAAAACGCTGAAGCAGAGTGAGAGCTGGTGAGGTCAAATTTGACAGAAAAGTGCCATTTACTTTAGTTGAAGTAGCTTGAATTCTTCCCCCTCCTTGTAGAGCCAGCTGGTTGGCTTGTCCATTTTGACTAATCGTGCGATACGTTTAGTTTCTTTGGATTCTTTTATTGTTACTTTTGGAGGAAAATAAGTCATAATAAATTGAAATGTTACTGTGATTGTGATGGCCTCTACATTGTGCTTTAAAAAAAAGCACACTATATGTGATCATACATTCTCAAAAATATTTTTCATAAAGAAGTCAGTTTTATCTTAAAACAAGTATTTCAAATATAGCAATTTACTTGTATCATTCATATTTATGCCACACAAGTCTTGTCTCAATTAACATGGGGAATATTACAGAAAATGACTTATATCTTTTTTTTTTTTTTTTTTTTTAAGAAAGGACAGGTTTCAAAATGCACAGCAACGTTCTTTAAAGGAAAACAATAAATTCCCTCCCATAAGTGGTCCATTTCTCTCAGGCTATCCTAAAAAGACTTCTATGTGAAGACAAACATAAAAGTAATGATGTTGATTAATGTAGGCCTTCATAAAGCAATAGTAATTGCTGCAAATATATAATAGGGAAATGGCTGTGTAGTGTTTCTAATAGATTGTAATGCTATAGCACCTAGATTTCCAAGGTGTAAGTGCCATTCTTGACATGTACAATAAATACAGTTAATCAATCAACTGCCCAACCATTGGAGTTTGTTTCACAATATCCTTTTGAGCCAGCTTTGTCAGGAAGAAATTACTTAAGAAAGAGCTACAGCAACAAATAAAATTCTTACTTAGCTTCCAGGGTCAGCTCTCTGTGCCTATGGAATTCTTGATGTAAAATGCACTCTCTGAAATGCTGTGATGTTTTAATAATGTATAGGAGCACTAGCTCAAGCTTTGGTAGGCGAAAGCTGGTTTTGAACCTTGAGGTCATTGTGCCTTGGGGGAGAAGTGCTGCGAATGCCTTTCCTCAATCACATTCCTGTTTCTGTGCCCGAGGCCTGCTAATAATCAGAAAATACGAATCATTATTATTTGATAAGACAATATTGCTGCTTGACAGACCAAGGTGGATAACATTTTTAATAATTAAAGTTAAAAATTTCTGGACTGTTTGGTAGGACAGTTATTGTGAGTGTGTATGTGCAGGTATACATATAAGCTTCAGAGTTGTTGCTGGAGGACCTAAAATAATGATATAACCCCATGGTTGAAAGATAATCATGCAGCATATTTAACCAGGTTATTAGAAGTGTAATGAAAATACATGTCTGAGTGTCCTTCAGTGTAGAACAGATAACATTGTACAAGTTATGCTTTTGTCTTCACATCTTTTTCTCAAAGAGAAATCTGCCTAATATAAATCGGATAGAGCACTGTAACATGTAATGCGATAATCCCCAAATTGTTCTAATAGCCTCTCCACATTATATCTTCTGTGTTTATTGCTTACTCTGTGAAGTCTCTGAGAGACAAAGCTACTTAGGTTGGTCAAAAGATTAAAAAAAAAAAAATGAAAGAAAGGTTCACTGAGGGCTATTAAATGCAAAGGCCAGCTCAGGAATTAGTTAAGGCACAAACTGCCAGAGGCTGGGAGGGTACACAGGGAGAGTCCGTGTGCCCTGATCTTACACTTTTCATTAGGTTGGGGTTGGAGATGGGATAACAACTAGGTGGCCATTTCACATAACTTAGCACAGTTACTGCCATGCAACTTCTGCAGTGGGTTAGTATCATCCTGTCTGCCTGTGGTGCTCAGTTCCTGAAGCTGCCAAGATGCACAAATGTTCAAAACTTTGCAAAAAAATAATGCATCGTCTCTCATACATGTGGCCAGTTGCACTGAATTTTACATTCCAAGCTCCACTTCGGCCAGCTAAGCTACTGCTGGTTCAACATTCCATTCTTTTACACTGTTTATAGCAGAGGATTCAAAAATATCCTTCCCCATCTCTCATTCTGATAAAACATCAAGAATTTACAAATTTCTCTTGCTCTAATGAAGCTTGAATCAGTATGTAGTTTGTACTTAGCCTTATGAGTTAACACTCTAGAAGCATAAAAAGGTGTCACTCTAGAAGCATAAAAAGGTGTAACTCTAGACTCTGGCATAATATAAAGCATCAATTCATATATTATACTCTTTTCTGCATTGTGCATGTCAATGAAAAAACTTGCATTAACTTAAATATGGGCAGGCTTTCATAAAGTAATATGACCATCCTGACCTTCCAAGCAAGACCAAGGAATCCTGCCCACTCAGTTTTTGTATCAAGTTTACATATTTTATTTAAGCTGCTGCATACTGCTTAGAAAGGTGCCTGCTGTTGCATGTGACGCTGTGCTAAACACAAAGAGATTTTCTTTCTTCATGACTAGCACATGCCTTAGTTTCAGCCTAGCTTCCAACCACACTCCCTTGTGGGGTTTTTTTTCATGGTAAGATCAGTTACTATCAGAAATCTCTACTAGGATACAATACAATTGACTCATTTTCTGAACGTGCTCTTAGATAATCTTGTTTAGCTTTTGCTAGGATGCTTTTCAGAATTTGTGTCATTTAAAAAAAATAATTTCCATTTTTTAACATCTGTTTCAGTCATGACTAGCCGAACATCTCAGCTATAGAATTCAGGGCCTATATCTCCAGTAATAGATCTATACACACAGAAAACTGGAAGTGAGACAAGACCTCCCTCCTATCCCTATGATTTTAATCATGACAACAGCTCTTCTACAATATACTGTAAAATACACTCTGGTATGTGACTCATAATATAGTATTTGGGATGATCTACATAATTTATATAAATAATAAAGTGCTCAGCCTGATGTCAGTAAAACAACACGATTCTTATACTATCACATACAGCCAGTTATAATCTATAGGTTAATAAAACACTTTGAGAAGATGAAGCTCTGACTTGAACATACTCAATTTCTTCTTGTGCTTTTATTCGGGAATAACGATCAGTGAACTGGTCAGGCTCCCTTAATTTTAGAAATTCTAGAAATTTTAGAAATTTCTAAATTTCTAAATTTCTTTTTTCTAGGAAAAAAAAAAAAAGAATAATGGAGTCAGCACTGCCCTGTGAAGTGAAGATGCTATTGTGAATCCTTTTCTTTATTTACAGTGATTTTCCTTTAGTCACATCTTAATCTTTGAACAGTTCCTTTATCTTCTATGGGATTATGTCAAGATTTGGACATTGTTATATTGGATATACTGGATATTGAATATATAGGTGAGAGTGGTAGAAGCTGGTGCCCACCGTTCTTTGTTCATTCATCTGTATCAGTCAATCCACCAGTTGCAAGAATTGGGAACTTCTTGCAGGTTTTATATATAAAAAGGCTTATTTTGACCTGGAATTGTAGCAAATAAGTTTAGAGAATGCACCAAAGTACTGTGAGATCCTCAAAGCCTCTCTTGCTTTTTTATGGGCTTTTGTGGCAGGTTGACTGCAGTCCTTTGGAAGAGAAATGGTCCGTGGCTTAAATAAGCGTAACACTAACCCTGCAATTCATCGGTGAGGTAGGAGTTGTTTAACAAGTAGTACCTTAAGTGCAGGTAATAAAATCAAGCGTTTTTCACTCCAGCTCAACTCTGCTCAATACTGCAGGATCACAAGGGTGATAAGCAGAGAGAAGGATCCCTCTGTACTGTTGTAATTAATAATGCCGTGCAAGGGAACTGGTAAGCACTTAATGAGAGATGAGTTTATGTGGTTGCCTATCAGTCCTGCGTTTTCAGGAACTGATCATCATGCAGCAAATCAGAAACTATGGCAGTGTCATCTAAGGAAACTCAGGACGAGAAATTATATACACATATAAAGTGATCTCTGCTAAGAACAAACTGGGAAACTGGAATACTCTTTGGCTGAAGGTGAATAGCTTTACCATACCTTGAAATAGGCATTTCCTTGCAAGAACTAAATAAAATATTGATGCCATGTTTCCAGGAGGAAAAAATCCTCCACAGTATTGAATTATTGTAAATTATGAATACAATACATATTTAGATGAAACATACATTTAAAAAAAATAAAATGCTGTTTCACTCATATAAGCAGGTGTTGCAAACTAGCTCTTAAAAATCATACAAGAATACAAAAAATCCATAACTCTCTAGATTGAAAAAGAAAACCATTTAAATAGAAGAAACAGTTGTGATCATCTACAGCCGAATTCAGAGAAATTAACAGAATACAGAAATTAACAGATTTTCTTCTCTTCTATTTCTGCAGTAAGTGAAAGTATACTTTTCCCCAAAAATGTTACATTTTTTAAGAGTACAAAATAGATACCTTACCAAGCTGATTGAGTAATCTCTTTTGAAAATACTTATTTTGATTGTATTAATATGCATAGAAATGTAGGCTCGGGTTTTCTGGGGAAAAACAGCTCCATTTTTTTTCCGTTTGCATAATTCATGTGAACTTTTGTGTGGATTTTTGTGTCTGCCGTTTCTCCTTAATTCTCTGCAAGAGGCAGAGGCAATAAAAGCTGCAGCGTGCCTTCTATTGTACTGTTCAAGTTGTCAGAATTAATTGGTTAAAAAAAAAAAGGATGGCTGTGTAGCGCTTGAATGGTCTGGTATTAATAATGCACATTATTAATACCATAAATGAATAAACACGGCGATGCTGAAGGACTATTTGCTAATTCACTCTGTTATTTTAACACTTACGGTCTGCCTTCGCTGTGGGGTGTGAATCAGAAGAGTTAATGGAAGTCGCCCGTGTAAATAACGCCACCTCATCCCGCTGAATCCGAGCGCGTAGGTGGAGCTGCACAAGTGCCAGCGTGTGGGAGAAGGGCAGCACGAGCCTGGCACGTGAGACAGCCGTGCTCGAGGGGGCTCCAGCGGGAGCTGCAGGGCGTCCGTCCCTCCGTCCATCTCTCCGTCCATCTCTCTGTCCGTCCCGGCATCCGCCCGCGCGGGTGGGCAGCGCTCGGCTTGGCGTCCCAGGTGCCGGCCGGCCGAGCCGCCCTCCAGACCAGCTCGGCACCAGGATCCCGCTAGCAGAGGGTTCTGCCCCAAGTCACCACTCCTCAAACTGCCAGCGTTGCTAAGCGTGAGCCTCGGCCTGGGAAGAGGGAGGATGCTCCCAAGAACTTGCGGGAGCAGAGGGATATTCTGGCAGTTAGGCTTTTGCTGCAGGTTCCCCAAAATTCAGCTGTAAGCTCCATTGCAGCTCCTTATTTGT